TTGGTGTTTTGTGTTCGGGATCGGTTGAGGTAGATCGAAGTAAGCATAAGATTCGCTGGGGTGAGCGTAACAGTGAGCAAATCGATCGCTATCGCGCTTTATGTAGTGCTAAGTTGAAAGATGTTAGAAGTTAGTCTTCCCGAATGAATTGAGTGGTTGTTGTGACCAAATGTGTAGCAATATTTTACATAGAAATACTATAGATAATTTGTATGCGCATATTATAGACATTCTATCGGCGGCAGCAGAAAGCACATATTATTATAAAAGTACTGTAAATAAGGGTAAGAAAACTGTAGTGGGGTGGAATAGGCATGTTTATCCGTTGCATAAAGAGGCACGGCATCATTTTCTTTATTGGAAGGCGCACGGGCGTCCAACCGCGGGTCCTCTTTATGATAACATGACGAAAACGCGGCGTTTATTTAAAGCCAAGTTGAAATGGTGTCAAAATAACGCAGATCGGATAAGGATGGATATTCTTGCCTCCCACAATACAAACAAGAACTTCAGGCAATTCTGGAAATGTACAAATAAGCTGAACTATAGGGCTAGTGTTCCCCAGAGTGTGGGTGGTGTCTCAGAACCGGAACAAATAGCAAACTTATTTAAAGAGCATTTTAGAGTCGAGCCGCCACCTACATCTTCGGCGTCGGTGCTCGCTGCTGAGGCCTGTCGCGCTATTTCTAGCCCTCTGGGGTTCAGTTCGAGAGAGGTAGCTTCATGTTTAAAACGAATAAATAGGGGTAAATCTCCGGGACACGATGGACTCAGTATCGAGCATCTGGTGCATGCTGGTGAGCACCTGCCTAGAGTGTTATCAATGTTTTACACGTTTTGTATAAGGCATTCATATCTTCCAGCGGCATGTATGAAGACCATTGTTGTACCAGTAATCAAAAATAAAACGGGAGATCTTTCGCAAATAGATAATTACAGGCCTATCTCATTAGCTACGATAGTCGCGAAGGTGCTGGACAGTCTGCTTAATGACCACCTTTGCAAACACGTAGATCTAGATGACGCACAGTTCGGTTTCAGGCCGGGCTTGTCCACGGAAAGTGCAATATTCTGTCTTAAGCAGACGGTCCAGTACTACACCGCTAAAAGCACCTCGGTCTTTGCGTGTTTTTTAGATATGTCCAGGGCGTTTGATACAATTTCTTATGACCTTCTTATGCACAAATTAAGAACGAAGACAAGGGTTTCAGAGGAAGTTGTAGGAGTTTTTGATTATTGGTACTCCAATCAGGAGAATTGTGTAAGATGGAGTAATGTGGAGTCTGAGACGTATGGGCTAAAGTGTGGGGTAAGGCAGGGGGGGGGTTACATCTACCTGTCTTTTCAACCTATACGTCAATGACCTCATAGAGCATCTTAGGAGCAGTGGTGTAGGCTGCTCAATAGATGGAATAAGTGTGAACAACATTAATTATGCTGATGATATGGTGTTGCTAGCTCCCTCGGTGAGCGCCATCCGAAAGCTCTTAAAAATCTGTGAAGACTTTGCTGATGCTCATGGCCTCAGCTACAATACAGCCAAAAGTAAGTTACTCGTTTTTCAATCGCGAGGTGATAAGATAGGCGTAGTTCCTGCAATAATGCTCAAAGGTGTACCACTACAACGAGTAACTGAGTATAAGTACTTAGGTCATTGTGTCACGGAGGACCTTTCGGATGGAGCTGACCTGGAGAGAGAAAGGAGGGCTATGGCGGTAAGGGGTAACATGTTGGCCCGTAGGTTTGCACGAAGCTCAAACGATGTCAAAATCGTCTTATTTAAGGCTTATTGCCAATCATTCTACTCGTGCAGCTTATGGGCCTCCTTTACTCAGAGAGCATTGAATGCTATTCGTGTGCAATACAACAATGTTTTCAGGTTGTTATTGGGCTTGCCAAGATACTGTAGTGCGTCGGGCATGTTTGCGGATGCACGTACAGATGGTTTCCACGCCATCATCCGCAAGCGTGTAGCTTCCCTCATGTATCGGGTTCGACAAAGCACCAATAGCATTCTGGGGGCATTGTGTGAAAAGTATACGGTGCTGCTAAAACGATGGAGTGACGTCCATGCTCCCCCTTAGCGCCTAGCACCTATTCTATGTATTCTGTCTAATTAATTTTAGTGACTAACACATTCTAATATACATTTTAAGTTAAAAATTGTTACTAACCCAACTAACGCACATTAGAATTAATTAATTATGTATTATTTTAAAATGTATGGATCTATGGTCTGACAAATAAATTATTATTATTATTATTATTATTATTATTATTATTATTATTATTATTATTATTATACTTAGGGCTATACTTTTTGTACGGGTTAGGGCAGGGTTAGTCAAGAATCTTAACACCTTTTATAAGTAATTAGCAAACACTATTGGCGTCGTTCTTCCTTTGTAATTTGTAAAGCATAAAAGGTTTATTTGATATTAGCTTAATACTATGTTGATACATATACCTGTGGGGTCATTGGTAGAAACCGATATATTTTCTTTATTTAATGGGGGGGGGGAAGCATGGGAGGCACTTGATGGAAGATGAAATACCCCAGCCATACAACACTTAAACAAGATGCGCTGATGATCAATGTTGGCTTTGGTTTTTGGAACCACAAATTGAAACCAAAAAGCAATTAAACTTCGCGACTTTTTCATATGTGGATGATGGTTGACCTGGACGGAATTATCGATATTTCTACCATCTCCAGATTTTCAGACGAAATCCAGCATGTGTTGGAAATAATGGCGTAGCTATCGTAGGGCCAGGTGGTGTAATGCAACAGGGCGCCGGAACTTAGGGACCTCCTAACCTTATCTTTGAGAAGATATAAGCGTAGAAGAAATTTCTTAACGTTCTTGTTACTATTTATAATTTTGGAGGTTCATTTAATTCAAGCCATGCTAAAAGGGATGAGGACCCGATTCTGTCTTGAGCCTTAGGATTTGGTAGACCGGGGCCCTTGTCCACCTAGCTACGCTACTGGTTAGAGATATTATAAATTTATGACAAAGATGTTACAATCGGTTGTATTCGAAACTACGATCTATTGATTATTAGCTATACGTTGCTACCACTAGTCAGTCTGTCAAAAAAAAACGCCTTTTATAAATAATTAGCAAACACTGTTTCCGTCTCTCTTGCTATGCAACTCTAATGAGTATTTTTATCCTTCTCTATCTCAACGAGTAATTGATAAGACCTATTAAGAAGGTTTTAGCTTGATACTATGATGTTTATATGCCTGTGGGGTTTTGTAAGAACGACACGTCTATTATATATTATATTATATTAGCCATAATATTACACCAACGAGTTCGTCAAAGTTATTTTAAGTATTATTTTATTAGAGAATACTACAGGGAATATGTTACGTCAGTAGTACACATTTAAATAAAACACTTATAACAGTTCACAATGCGAAATATGTTATCTAATTCCGTCCGGCCTTTTTTTTTTTTTTTTTTTTTTTTTTAACTTGGGGAAATGCATTATGCACCCCTACTCCAGGGCTGGTGGTGTAGGGAGTGTGGGACTCACACCCACTAAAACCCCAAGGGCTCGTCATTGTGCGCAGTTAAATGAAGGTTGGTAACGGTTGTGACCTTGTCCAAAACCTTCATTTTAGAAGCGCCCTGCCGCATTGCAAACGTGCGACCCACCCTTTAGCCCTTCAAACGCAGTAGTGTGAGACCAATCTGTCAGCGCAAAACACGCCGAGGTCGTTCTCTTCTTCTTCTCACTTCAGAGGCCAAAGGATCAAGTTCTCGGGCCCGCTCATCACTTTCTTTAATAGCAAATATCTCCTCACAGAAGTCTTTGACAGCCCGCCATCTACTTTCATCCTGTAGCATAATTCTGACAAGGGTAGAGAGAGTGGGTGTATTGCCACCAGTTTGGACCAAGCCTATTATAGAAAACATGGTCCTCCGCTGAAGACACCATGCAGGGCAATCTAACCAACCATTACATCATCACTTTAAAGATTATAGAAAGGTCGCACCCTTCTGGTGTCCTAATAACCGAGTTTAACCCCCCGGCCATGCATCTCCTCGCCAGACACTAGAACTTGAGATTCAGGTTTACTCTACACTCTCTTCAGACATAAAGTCCTCTCCTTAATCGCATCCTGTACGGTTCTTTAGGGAAGAACGAATCAGGAGCAATCCAACATATTGGTCCAGTTTGTTCCCCGAGGTGCTGGCTTGCACCCCAGGTACTAAGCCCCACCGCCACGACAAGGCCGGACCCCGCGGGAAAGTACATCCGCGGGTGGTGGGGTAATTCCGTCCGGCCTTAGTTAAATTCAATTAAAAAAAATGGTAACTTATTTTTAATTGAATACTGTTAAAAGTGTTTTATTTAAATAAACATTATTTACAGCAATGGTTGCATATATTGTTATAATTAAATTAATATATTGTTTATAACTTCTTTTCTGCAGTTTATTAGTTTTTACGTTATCAAAACACATTTATACGCAAGTGCACAGAACTCTATGGAAGCCGGTTCAAGTCCCGCGCGTATCCGAAATTACTAACTATACTATATCATAAGTTCTTTTTTGATGAAAAATAACATTAGAATTATAGAAAGTACTTTTAATTAATTGAGTCATTCACAATCACCTTAGACAACGGCCATATTTTAAAGGAATGTCA